GAAGGAGTGGTACCCATTAATCTGGCTGTTGAAAATTGTTTACCCTTTAGCCCAGAGGAAAGTATTATGCTTAACCAGATGCTTGCTGAGATAAGTAGCAGTGCTGCCTCTGGCCTTCCAGATATTGCAGTGAGAGCAATGTGCACCGTATTCTAAGTGGAGCCAAACTTTTAAGCTCTCTCTATTAGCCATGCTTGCTTTGTCTACTGTTCCAGCGGCGACAGACTAATGTCATTACGCTTGTGGCTGTGCACGTGTCCATAATGAAAAATCGACCATTCCTTCACTACTTCAGTGCCACAAAAATGCATTTAGGTACTGATATATGGTACTGTTAGATTGTGTCTAAACGTCACTTGCGCCGCTTCTCCTGTTACCCCTTAATCTCACATCCTCCGTCACTGCTCCACCCCGCAAAGCCTACAGCCTCCACTGTTCCTCCCGTATTGCTGTGCTCTGACTTATTCTCTGAGCTCGAGGAGAGCATCCGCGATATTATCATTAAATTCCTAGGAGCAAAACAATTTAATTTAATATATGACATATTAAATAATACCCATCAGCATCCAGCAGATGTTTAGTTTCTTATAGAGATGAAAAATCTGCTTCCTGTTCTGTTGAAGTATCAATAGTTTGCATCCAATCTTTTAAATAAACGGCGTTAGTTTTTTGAGAGAATTATGCTCTAATTTGTAGGTATCGATCTGTTGTTACTATATTTTAATTTGACAAACCGGATCATATCGCTGTTTTTTTTCCTGTTTGGTGCGATTGCAATAGCAGATCTTGACCTGGCCGGACCGGAGCGGAGCCTGAACATTTTGAGTATGTTTGGGTCAACCTGCTGCTGTGAAGCAGGATTCCTCACCATGAACATAATCAGAAATAAATATGGATCCAGGACTAGTTTCTAAGCATCACCACTGGACAGGATACTTCTACTTTATGCAATATTCCACAGATCAAAAAAGGAAATTCTAGAAACCTCTTTGATATTGGATTTAAATGACAGGTCCTGATCAAAAATAACACCAGGATTTTTTTACTTTATTGTCCGAGATCTATCTATCTATCTATCTATCTATCTATCTATCTATCTATCTATCTATCTATCTATCTATCTATCTATCTATCTATCTATCTATCTATCTATCTATCTATCTATCTATCTATCTATCTATCTATCTATCTATCTATCTATCTATCTATCTATCTATCCATCCATCCATCCATCCATCCATCCATCCATCCATCCATCCATCCATCCATCCATCCATCCATCCATCCATCCATCCATCCATCCATCCATCCATCCATCCATCCATCCATCCATCCATCCATCTATATATATATATATATATATATGAAAAAAAGTTAAAAAAGTTCAAAGAAAACAAAGACTTAAAATTCTGTCTGCTTGGTGGTCTGTCCTGCTTATGTCTGCTTTATCCTCTGAAGAACTTACATCCTGCTAGATGGATAAATAATCTTTGTCAATACTATGTTGCATTAAATACCAATGATTTTAAAAACGCCACTGATAAAATATATTCTGTCAGTGTTAGTTAAACTAAAGATTCCATTACTAGTAAAGCATTATACGCTCCTGGTAGGTGTTTAATACAGCATCACTGCTATACACTCACCGGCCACTTTATTAGGTACCCCATGCTAGTAACGGGTTAGACCCCCTTTTGCCTTCAGAACTGCCTCAATTCTTCGTGGCATAGATTCAACAAGGTGCTGGAAGCATTCTTCAGGGAGTTTTGTCCATATTGAAATTATGACATCACACAGTTGCCGCAGATTTGTCGGCTGCACATCCATGATGCGAATCTCCCGTTCCACCACATCCCAAAGATGCTCTATTGGATTGAGATCTGGTGACTGTGGAGGCCATTTGAGTACAGTGAACTCATTGTCATGTTCAAGAAACCAGTCTGAGATGATTCCAGCTTTATGACATGGCGCATTATCCTGCTGAAAGTAGCCATCAGAAGTTGGGTACATTGTGGTCATAAAGGGATGGACATGGTCAGCAACAATACTCAGGTAGGCTGTGGCGTTGCAACGATGCTCAATTGGTACCAAGGGGCACAAAGAGTGCCAAGAAAATATTCCCCACACCATGACACCACCACCACCAGCCTGAACCGTTGATACAAGGCAGGATGGATCCATGCTTTCATGTTGTAGACGCCAAATTCTGACCCTACCATCCGAATGTTGCAGCAGAAATCGAGACTCATCAGACCAGGCAACGTTTTTCCAATCTTCTATTGTCCAATTTCGATGAGCTTGTGCAAATTGTAGCCTCAGTTTCCTGTTCTTAGCTGAAAGGAGTGGCACCCGGTGTGGTCTTCTGCTGCTGTAGCCCATCTGCCTCAAAGTTCGACGTACTGTGCGTTCAGAGATGCTCTTCTGCCCACCTTGGTTGTAACGGGTGGTTATTTGAGTCACTGTTGCCCTTCTATCAGCTCGAACCAGACTGGCCATTCTCCTCTTAACTCTGGCATCAACAAGGCATTTCCGCCCACAGAACTGCCGCTCACTGGATGTTTTTTCTTTTTCGGACCATTCTCTGTAAACCCTAGAGATGGTTGTGCGTGAAAATCCCAGTAGATCAGCAGTTTCTGAAATACTCAGACCAGCCCTTCTGGCACCAACAATCATGCCACGTTCAAAGTCACTCAAATCACCTTTCTTCCCCATACTGATGCTCGGTTTGAACTGCAGGAGATTGTCTTGACCATGTCTACATGCCTAAATGCACTGAGTTGCCGCCATGTTATTGGCTGCTTAGAAATTAGGTGTTAACGAGCAGTTGGACAGGTGTACCTGATAAAGTGGCCGGTGAGTGTACTTGCCAGCTTTTTGAACAGTTGTGTTTGTTTCATTGTCCTCAACAAGATTTTTAACATGAAATGACTACCAACATGTTTTTTGGTATTGCATAGGTGACAAACACTCTTAGCAGCTGTAGATGGAAGCAGTACTTTGTTAGAACTTTTGCTTTTTATCCTCTGCAGTGCTTTTCATGTGGGAGCAGAATAGACGTTGTAACAAGAACATTAATAAAATATGCAGATTCATTTTTAATGATCCATTGCCCCCCTTTACTTAGAAACAGATTTTTGTGTCTGTGGTTGAGGGTTTATGCTGTTTTATGGATAGATACAAACAAAAGCACAATTATTTTGCCTTTGCAAAAGAAGGTTTTAGACCTGTATGAAACTGACATTATATGAATGATACAGTGAGATTATTGTCTTCTTTGTCTATTTCTGGAAGATAATCCTCATATAGGGATACATTGGACAAAAATGAGACAAAGAGTAAATTGCAGCCTAAAGCCTCTGGAACAAATTTAGCTTACAAAAATGTAATTCTCAGAAATAGTGCTGGGTGTGTACCTTTATTCAAGCTGAGATGATGCAAAATTTGTACAGTAAGTGCATTTTAAACCTATTTGTATAAACTCTTTAAACGTTTTTGTCAATCCCCTTAATTAACCCTGTTTCTTCTATTATGAATTTCAATATCTGATAGGAATCAGATTTGTTTTATAAGGTACAGTGCTGTAAAATAGAATTCACAAGTTTTCCTCATTTGTATACCTCAAAGCATTTAAATCATTCAAACCTTCAAAATGTTTTATATTGTATTAAGAGATCCTGACTAATTAAAAAATGTAGATTTTAAATAATGTTTTCCTTTATTAAAAAACCTAGCCCTGTGCTAATTGTAAATACCCCTCTTGTTAGATTATCAATAATTCAATAGTAAACAGATTTTTGTAAATCTTACTAATTCTGCTTTCATTTGCCTGACTACTGCCAGAAACTGTAGTATGGAAAAAGCTAAGAGATCTCAAATGCATCAGGTCAAATTCAGTGTCACAGAGCCGCTCTATAACTTTGGGATCCCAGTAAACCACATTGATGGCTCTTTCCAGGATCTTTCACTATTCATCCTGAAGGTGACAAATGAACCCAGAACATCTAAAGTACTGCAAGTCTGACCTACCAATTGAAGTGTTCATAGTACACAACAGGAAAGAAACTTGGCAAAAATTGCCTCCACGGAAAGCTTTCAAGATCAGAACCACTGATGATCCCCAAGAACATTTGGGTCGCATACTGGTGAAGGCTCTCAATCATCCAGGTCATAGTCACTCCAAAAAAATAAAAAAATTTTTCAATTAAAAATGTCAGGAATGGCGTGGAGTTTGAGGTTTTATACAGTACTGTATTCCTGACATTTTGAATTGAAATTTGGGTCACATATACTTTTGAATGGTGAAACATTAGCGGAGGTTTTTAGGAAAGTGTATCTGGTTGCAACCGATGTAAAACTAGCACAGCATGGAAGAAGCGTGACATCATAAAGATAATCAAACATGGTTGGAGTGCTGTTGCTGTGTTTGTTGTAGTTCTGTGGATGTTCGGCTTCTTCGGGATCATAGTTAAAGAAAACAGGAATTTTGCTCCAGACATTTCCCTACTGCATACTTGGGATATGTAGGAAAGCAAAAATCCTAAGCATGCCAGTAAGCCATGCACCTTTTGGCTCAAAATGAATAAATGTATAATTTGCAGGACATTTATGTTGAAAAACAGTTAATGTATATGAATTGAAGAAAATCTGCAAAAAAAGAGAGGACTAAAATTCCTCCCCAATAACATAAAAGTCCCAATGGCAAGAGTGGCTCCATTACGCACTTATTAGGTTTGGGGGGGAAATTTCTCACACAGGGCCAGGTTGTTTAAGATACCGTAGCATTTTGCACAATAAATGAAATAATTTAAAACTGCTTTTTGCCTCCTTGCAGATAGAAACTACAGATAAGATTTGTAAGGAGGCAAACACATTTTCACAGACAAGCAGATTTAGGAGAGAGAAAACAGGCACCAGAGGGGTGTAATGTGTTAATGGTTGCACACATACACACACATTTGCATACATCTCGGCAAACACACAGTGATCAGTGTTCTCACGTTCATCAGAGGGGTAAGAGTCAGTGTTCTCACTGCAGCAGGCTTCTCTTTCTCATTGCTCTATCCCTCTCTTTTGCTTTGTTCACGCTGTGCTCTCCATCTGAAGCAGCACCACACTGGAGCTTTAATGATCGGATTGAGAGCAACTGCAACGCACAGATCTCCCATCAGCCAAAAGAGGAGCAGGCAACTCTCAGCGGCTCAAGAAGCGACCAGGCAACTGCTGATCTACAGTCAGCTGAGACATAACTGACGGAGGCAAAAAGCATCTCAGAGCAAGGCGTAGGAAGAGGTTGAGAAGAGGCTTTCGGAGGCAAATCAAGAGAAGACTACTCCTGTGTGAAAGCTGACCTTCGGTGCACTCTGAAGAAGAAGGACCTGTCTTAAAGAGGCTCGACCATGGAGGAGACGCTCACCTGCAGTCGAAGTCCTTTCTCTCAGGTGTTTGGGCGGCAGGGTCAGCTCATGCAAGCCAGTAAGTGTTGATATTCAGAGAACATGTGCAAAACCAAGTGGAAGTGTTATGTAATAGAGGTGTTTAGGAACGGTTAAGTCTGTCCCACTTTCTACTAGAAAAAAAAAACATATTTTTTTCTCTTTTATAACCTTTTGGTGGATTCGTGAATATATTTAATTTTCTTCTTTTTATTTCAGTGTGAAATCATCATACAGAATCTTTTTCCAGTTAAGCAGCAGTTTCCTCAGATGCTCTGATCTCACCAGAGTAACATGGTGTGGCATGATGATGTGTTAATGCTGATGGGCTTTGAGAGAGATGTCAGGTGTGAACATGTGTGCGCTGGCGGATCGTGTGCTCACTCTCTCCTGACTGTGATCCTTTGATCTCCCCCAGGTTGTGCATGCCACAGGTCTGGCATTAGGCAGGGGGGAAAATACAGGACATTAAGTAGAGGTGTGGAATAATACACTTGTATGACACATTCAAGCTTAATGCATCCTCGGTACTTTTGATTTTTTTATTTTGTTGAGCTGGGGAGGTGTCTCATTTATTTACCAGGGTTAATATCTATATCCTTGCAGAAGACAGAGTTTCTTGTACAACAGCTCAGTGATTTGATAAAACCGAAAATAATTAGATAATACATTTGCTGTGCCTTCCAAAAAAAATGGATGCCCTTTTTGACATGTTTTCACACCTGCAAAGTTCAATATAATATATTGGGATTTATTGTAATGGAGTAGAACATTCTTGTTTGGTGGTAGAAAACATTTTGCAAATTTAATGGGAGAAGCTTTGTATATCTATGAATCAGGGACCCTTCATCTATTTCTTGTAGAAACCACTTTTGGGACATGCCAGCTTTGGTCAGTCCAACCAAATGGAGAGTTTTCATGAGAAGCAGTTTTTTTAATAATTGCCCCAGTTATGTGTTATGTTTAGTACTGTTTTCAACTAAGTATCTACTGCTTTGTATGTTTTTATTCATTTCCTTCCAGTGATTTCATTCATTTATCTACGTCCATTTCCACATTAGCTATGACCAGCTTCCCTCTCATTGCCATTTTCCCTACAGCACAATGCTCATAGTAACATCCATGGGTGTTACTATCATAATGGTGTGATTAGGGGATATACACTTTTCCTTTCCAACACTTAAACCTAGTATGAATACAGCAAGCAAGTAAGGACTCTTTGGGCAAAGAGTCAAATAATGGAGGTAGGAAAAGGCACTCAATATTCTTTCAGTCATATGTACAGTATGGGTTAATGAGGTATAAGGAATCCCACAGTCCCTATATGAACACAGTCAACCTCTTGGAAAATAACAAAAATACATTATTGCTTTGCATGCACTGTTTAAAACATAAACATTTATACAACTTCATTAGTTTTGGTTTGTGTAATGAGGAGCTTTAGGAGTGCACTACATTTGGGTTACTTGTGTTTTGTTGTTGTTCTTTTTCAGAAGGCTGTAGTTCCACAATATGAGTTCTGTTGCATAATGATGTTTGAAAGGCTAAATGCTGTCCACATATGGCACAGCAGTCTAGATTTCTTTACCTACCCACAATCTTGTCCTTCTGCTCATAAAAATGGTGAAGGAACAGAAGCAAGGGTCTCCAATTTGCCGTCTTTGGATTTAGCCTTTTATGGTGAGTTCACACCAAAAGCATTCTTGCCATCTGGGCATTTAATTCACAAGCAAATTATATGGGGGTCAGTGTTAAGCAGTGTTGAAAGCAGCACGCCCTGGCGTCCCAGCAGTGGGCATTCAGAAATTGGAACTTTTCCAGCTTGACGCAAGCGTAGGGAAAATCAATATGTAAAATGGGGTTTCACTCCACAGGTTTTAAAAAGCTAGGAGAATTTTCTTACTTTACTATGGCAAAAGAGTTTATGAAAAATGTTTATATTAACGTTCAGCTGCAACGGCAGCCGCAAATCGTTAACAGTCAAGTTCAGAGAGCTTTCACTGGTTACTCCTAGTGCCTGCTGGTCTCCCACTCGAAAAAGAACAAAATATTTAAGTAAGATCATAATCCTGATGAATTAACTCCACAGAGACTCCACAAGATTTGAGATGGATTTACTCGCTTAAAAACGTTCAACTCATTAATGTAAATAAAGCCTCCAGAACGTCTTATCTCAAAATGCACAAGTGTCCATGTTGAGGTGTTGAAAATCATTTTGATCTTTAAAGCTACGGTGTGTAATACCTTAAATGGATTTACTGAAGATATGTAACATTTTATACATAAGTAAAATTAGGATTATTTATATCAGACCACGTAGGAATGGACCAAAATAATTTTCCAGATGTTTACCTCAATTATTTCTCTCCAGCTTTTTGTAGAGCTCCAGTCATCCCGCTAGCATCACCTCTTCTCCTTGGGTGCACAGCATCTTTCCCACCGAGCGACAGTTGGTTGAAAAGACATTGAAAAGATGACAACGTCTACATTTAGTTAAGAAGTAAAAGGTTAAAAGCTGTAGTTTTCAGATTGTTGAAAAGATGTTGAGACTTTGGGTTTGCAGTGTCTTTTCAATGTCTATTATATGACTAAAGTAGGACAAACAGAGAATGACCAAAACAGCCTAATGTTCAAGAACTATTGCTGGACTAAATCAAGACAATGTCAGACGGACCAGATTTAGCCTAAAAACCAACGTCGATATGAGGTCTGATGTTTGCGGGTTGGCTCTTTTCTTGCCCTCTTCCTCTCTCCTTTCATCATGTAATAACCCCTATGCCATAGACTTACTCCTAAACTGGAAAATATATGATTTCAACCAACACAATCTCACTATTAAAACAACCAACAAATAACTGGTATGTTTGCTTTCTTGCTCTAAGATCTGATGCTTCTCTCCCAGATATATTTTCTTCTGGTTTACTTCCTTCTCTCCGTGTGCACACCAGTCTCTACTCGAGTCAGAGATACGTTTGTAAACCCATTAGCTCTGCTTGTGGATTTTCTCGTTCTCTCTGTTATTGGAGTTGGATCATTGCCTATCAACATTTCCAGCCAATAGAACAACAGCGTCGAAAAAGGTGTGTGTTGTTTTCTTCTTCTGTGTTTGCCTGTTACTGCTTACCGATAATAAAATCATATCCCCACATTTTGTTTAAAATATCCAATAAAAGAGCGGGGCTTGCTTTACAAAACAATAGGCTACATCAGAGGTCACGGATTAGCCGACCGTGGTCCGTATCCGGACCCACCTGCTGGCTAATCTGGACCCAACCTGATTTAAGACATTTATAAATTACCTCATGTTGTCTGACGGCAGTGTCTAATTTCACTTGCGCCGCTTCTCCTGTTTGTACAGTAAAATCCTCCGGGACCAGGCAACACGTGATGCATATTAGCCAATGAGCTGTGTAGGTCAGGGCTGTTGTTAGCTACTTTTAGACACAGCAGGCAAACCTGTGGCAAGCCGGGCGATGCGTAACAATGATGAGAAAACGTGAAAGAAACTGTAGACTGCTGGAAGAAGCTCAGTGATCTGGTTACAGAAAAGTGAAATGGCGTGCTCTGGAGTCTCCACCATGAACAAAATCAAAAATAAATATCGATCCAGGCTCACGAAGGAGCACCTTGATATGTGCTTTAGAATGGCTTTGTCGCCAATCAGACCCAGGTTTAAAACCTTGCAGGTCAGCCTAAGGCCAACTTCTCTCATTAAGCCATAAAAAAAAGAAAAAACAAACAAATGGTCAGTTCAGGTGTTATAAATATAAGAATCAGGAAATTGTCTATACACCAAACTGAACGACTGATATTTTCTACTTCAAAAAACACTTTAGATTTCGAAATGGAAAAATTTTCAATTTTTTTATATATTGTTTTATTTAAAAAGTCAATGTATAACATGGATGCAAAAAAAACTCATTTTATTTCAGTGTTAAATTATGTTTAAAGTAACAGATTTTAATTAAAAATGGCTCTGGACATTTACTGGTTGTTGATTTTCTTTGTTCGGACCCCAGAGGTATGTGATTGGTCACCCCTGGGCTACATGATTGGTCAAAAATTTACAGTTTCTCAGTGTTGTTTGTTGCCGTATTGGTTACCTTCAAATGTGGCAGGTATAGTGATAGTGTCACCCACCAATCACGAAAATGATCCACATTTGGCGTGTGGGTTGGTGCCAATTTCATTCCTTGACTCTTAGCATATCAACAGATTTTTTCATGGAGCCATCTTTGTAGCTATTGCAGCGCTCTTCAGTTTTCTTATAATATCTCAGTGCTCGATGGTGGAACAGTTGCTAGCACTGTTGCTTTGCAGCAATACGCTCCTTTGTTTTAAATGTGGCCAGGTCTTTATCCTCAAAGGGTTTGGCTATATTCTCTGGGTAAACCTCCTTTCTCCCACAATCAAAAATTCTACATTTCCCGTGTTAATGTGTGCATGATAATCTGTACTAAGTCTGCTGGGTTCCATGGTCTTCACTAATTTTTTTTAACAATCTTCTAATGCTGCGTTCACAGTGAAACTAAGCACACAATTTAAACGTTATCCCTGTTGAAAGAGACTGAATTGGATGTTATTTTAGACTATCAGACTTCAGGCTCCTTGATTTGTATACATGCATGACAGTATTTAAATAGTTTTTTGATAAAGAACCTTTTCCTTTTATTTCAAAAATATTTGTATACCTAATGCCGTCAATCACACATAATCTCACGGAATTAAATGAAAGTTGGTAACTGAATTTCACAAGAAATAAAAAAATCTTAATTTACCATGATCGCTCTTGCACCATACATACTCTAATGCTTCACTCGATATGTTATACATTTAAAATGCATACTGACTTGTTGAAACTCAGCTCTTTTTATATTTGTGTACTTTCTAAGACCGAAGCACTCTTTTGTTTAGTTTACAAAAAGTGTTGCTTAGGTGCCTTAGTAAAGAATAAAAACGCCTTTGGCCATAGCCAGAGATGGGAAGTAACAAAGTACAAATACTTCGTTACTGTACTCAAGTAGATTTTCTGATATTTTT